CTATGTTTACATGTAATGTATGAATTAGTTTTTATTACAACATCATATCAGTATCAAACAACTTCGAAATTGTACAATATTGTGCCATGACAATTTTAATATGTTATTCTCATAAATGTAGAACCAATGTATATTACATATTAAATTCAACAGTTTACTATACGACAATGTGCATGTTGGAAATTAATCAAGAGAACAGGTTTAGATATACCGGTATAAACTATATAAAGATTGCTTCCAAATTATATACATCAACATGTAAACCGAACAAAACCCATTAGACTTATATATATTTACCAACTGTTAAATTATTCAGAATAAAAATTGGCTGAAAATATCATTTGAATTTATGAATTAACATATTTTTTATATGTTAAATAATTCACCATTAACATGTAGAACAACTAGATTATTTTCAAACTATAGTGTCTTTTAAACTTATGAATTATTTTGTAACTCAAAACATATCATTTCCACTATACCACTGATACACACTATTCAAAATGTCTGCTTGTTTAACAATGAGAAATATTATAACTGTGCAATGACATGTAAACACACAAAATGGTTGTATTTAAGGAATGAAGATTATTTCAACTTATATTATACGATATAACAAAACTTGGGGCAGTTTACGCTTCATTACTTTATATAATTTAATTTCAGCGCAGACAATGAGACAATTTTCACCCAGAATAAGGCTTTACATTGATTAAATTTTAAAAGTAACGTCAAGCGAACTGGAGTAATAAGTTTTTTGACGTAACTCATTGTGACGTAGGCAAGTAAAATATGTTATACACAATGGATAAAATCTTTTATCCATGCAATCAAATACATGTTTCAAGTAAAATTAAATTATAAAAGAATACATGTATGTAACTGCAATGTTATTTTTCACTGTAGATACTTGTACACTGTCAGTGTTTTGGTGTCTCTTTGTCCCACATAGAGATTGTTCTCATCATCCACACACACACTACGGGGATTGTATACCCCTTGTTGTCGTGTGAGTAATAGAGACAAGAACTGACCGTCCTGATCTAGGAGGTGAACAGTATTACTGTCAATATCACACACCAGGATGTGACCGAGGACATCAGTACAGATTCCATAGGCACGGAACCGTGACTTCTGACCTGTGTAGGAGAACCTGTGTTGTCCTGATTTATTCACCACCACTACTCCTTTACCATAGTCTGATGTACAGATATCTTCATTGATGTTTTCGGTGATGTAGAGTGGATAACTATACAGTTCCTGTCCTTTGTTATCCCGCTGTATGTTCTGTATTTCTTTTCCTGTCTTGCTGTACCTGGTGACTTTAGCCTCTCTATCTGTCCACATCCCCACCAGTAAGTCCCCGTTGATGTGGGAGGAGTGTATGCTGAGTGGACTCCAGTCTTCAGTTTTAATGAATTCAGTGATATAATTATCCTGTGTTATCCTATTGATGACTTGATTGTCTTTGTCTGTAAAGATCAGATCCCCGTCCCGTGTGACTGTGTGGTAACCACGTCCACCACTGGTTTTTATCTTCTGTATCACATTCCCCTGTAGATCTGTTTGGACAAGATTACCATACTCGTCACTGATCCAGAGTCGGTCTGATTGATCTAGTAATACATGTAATACACGATCAACACCTCGTACTTTGAACTCCCTGACCTTGGTGACAGAGGCAGATAGAGACATTGTTTGTTTCTTGTCAGATTTCTTTCTGTCTTCTTTGTTCTGTTTATGTGTAGGTTTCATTGCTGTATTGTAGACACTTTCAATGGGAATTATTTCTCTCTTCTCTGCTTTCGTGTTGGGCACATGTATTTTTCCTAGTAATTTGTTTACATCACATTTATTGTATTGACCAGCAGTAAATCCTGGTGTGACTGGTTTTGTTGTCTCTGGTATGGATCGGATCTTTGGTTTCTTCTCAGACATTAATTTCTGGGTTTCTGTAGAGGACAGGCATCTGTGGAGCTCTTTGACCAAGGTTATTAAGATAAGTGATGTAATCATCCATGGTCTTGTCTTGGGTGTTTAGATCTTCTAACAGTGAATGCTCTATCTGGTCTAACTGCTTCATGTTCTCAGATATGACTGTGTCCACCAGACTTTTCAGGGACTCACCTTCAGTCTTCATGGATCTTCTGATGTTGTCCATGATGTGTTTGATTTCTGAGGAATCTTTTTTAATCTCTTTCTGTAAATCTTGTGATGTAGGGAGAAAATACTCGTGAATTTTGGAAATTTCCTGTTGGAAGACCGCAAATTTTTCTGCGTAGACTGCTTCAAGATCAACAAATGTATGTTTTGGGTGGTCTCCCTTTGTAGCACATTTGGAACATAAGGAAACCTGGCAATCTTCACAGAGCATGTCCACATCTTTTGTGGGGTGGATCTTGCATTTCTCCACAGGAAGTTGTCGTTTACGTTGCTGGTAAAGGACCACCTCATGGTTCTTGTATTCAGGACTTTTCAGATGTTCATCTCTGCATTGTTTACACAATCTTTGATGACAAGGGTTGCAGTAGAACTCGCAGTTTCTTTCACATTCTTCAATGCCACACTCTAAGAAGTGCTGGGCCGTGCGGGGAATGCCAATTTTAGATAACGCCATCTGAAAAAATAGGAATATATGTTTTATACATAATGATGTTCTAATCTATATCTATATTTTTCAGAATTAGGGGAAAACAGCTATTATTTGTAAACATGTCAACAGTGATATCATAATTATGCATTCAATTTGCTATTCTAGTACATCAATAAATCGTTTCTTGGTTTTATCCAGAATTCATATAAATGTTGATTTGAATTAAATTAAATGACCTTTATTGTACATGTATACTTACAGCTTTTACGATTGACCGACAAATGACTTTGTTGACAGCAAGACGTTGGAATGTCAAAATGAGATTTCAGTTGAGACTTGAACGAGATCTGTAATTTACTTCCTGGATAAATTAGAGATAAATTTAGATTTAAATACCCTTACCTGAGGTGTTTAACAGAGCGAACGTTTGCCTGCGCTTGCCAAAATTCTCTACACCTCCACTAAAAACTTCAATGACGTCACCCATTGTTATAAGTCTATGTATATATATTTCCATTTCTAATTTTTTTTCTGCGATAACTCTTTGAAAGTTGTCGGAGTTTATTTCTTGATAATTCTGCAGGAATGTAAATTAGGCGGGTTGATAGGTCAGGAGCTAAGGAGGCCTAAAATGCATGCAAATCTCGTGCCAATCTGTCTCTGTGCCTGACGCTAAGGAGGCAAAATGTGCATGTAAGTCTCGTGCGGCTGCCTAGGTGTTTAACGTCATTGGGCGAGGACTATTGAAATTGCCATGAAAGTCCTCGTGTAATTTAAATCTATGTCTACATTTTTAAAGTTTAAATCTACCATTTTATTTCACAATGAAATGAAAATATAAGGAATCCTAACTAGACAGTGATTCCTTATTTTACCAATTCAACCAGCACTAGTGGGATATTTATAGATCCAACTGGCCATCAGTTGGATAGTCAAATATCCAACTGCCTATCGGTTGGATATTTTATTATCCAACTGACAGAGGTGCATAAAACAAAAACAATGAATAAAATAAATTTTAAAAAAAATTTAAAATATATTTCCAATGCACATGAAAAATAATTATTGCTAAAAATTTGCCACACTATTAGAATTAATTTTCAGTTCACACAGAATTACCATAATTACTTCACATTTATCACATTTATCGTGTTTCAAATGCCCTTCCAATGCCCATAGAAATAACAATTGTTCCGAATTTTGCAAATTTTTTGAAATGTACATGTATTTTCAAATACATTTTTACCTTGAATCTTAAACTACACCACTTCTTATTTCTGAACATTTTTTCAGGGTCCGTTATCAGTAAATCCCTTCAGATTTTCCAAGATTCATCTATGTTTCATACTTTTCCAGTGTACTTCCCAGAACAATTTAAGTAATTGACAGCCAATGTATATTTTGACACCGTTTTTATTGCAGATGTTGATATTGATTGGAATGTTTTTAAAGCAGGTTCCGCATAACACCACCAATCTCTTTATCTGTTTTAAAGCACAACTACAAGTATTGTCCAAATGAAACTGATCCATAGGCATCCAACACTTTTTCTCAACAAACCATCATCTTATAATATGTAATGACAGATTAAAAATCTGTAGGTTTTTTTTCTCAGCTTTCAGGTCAAAGGTATTCAAAAAACACTACCTGAACCTCTCTAATTTACATTGGATTTTAAAATATTTTTCGTCTGATTTCATGACTGTTCAGTAGAATGAAAAGGGTTGAAATGACTTCAGCACCGTGTAGTTTCATGCTCACTAGTCCATGAATAAAAGTTCTATTATTAAAGCTATTGTTTTGTGTCAGTTGGATATATAAATGGGTTACATCCTGTTGTATTACAGCAAAGTTGGATATTTGAATCGGGTACTGTAGATTCCTTATTTTTCGCAAGAACTTATTATTGCGAATGGGCTCTTCAAAGTCAAATCGTGAGAATAATAATTCGTGTATGGATGATTGGTCTTGAGATTTTATATTGATTCCAGCACCACAAAAATAAAGGCAAGTAATTTTATTTTGCGTGTAGTGCTTCTCACGAAATTATCCGATAATTAATTACACTCGTTTATTTAAGAAGTTACAGTATATTGTTGTTTCTCATGTCGGTCCATCCGTCCGTCTATCTGTCCATCCATCCGTTTGTCACACTTTTCTTCCCTGAACTTCTCTTACATTTTACTCAGTAGCCTAATTACTATAGGGAGGTATTTGGTGGTGTCAAGTAGATGTGCAGTAAGGTTTCGGAATTTTCATTTGATAGTTCACATGAATTTTAGAAGTGGAACTTTGGCAATTTTTATCCAGACACTTATTGATGAAAAAGGAAATGTTATTCGCAATTGATGCATAAATATAGTTGCATAATACATTTTTTATTTTTTACATATTCTGCCTATTACAGATTGCTATGGGTCTTCCCCTGTACCGGTTGAAGGACATCAGACAGCTGTATGAGGTGGATACCTGGGGGGACAGTCCTATTGATTTCTCTAACCCCTCCATACACCCCCGACCCCGGGGCCATGTCATAGCAGCCAGGATCACCAGCGAAAACCCTGACGAAGTAAGATTCTTTAAAAAGACATCAAAATTTGTTGCAGCAAAATGAGGAGGAAAACGCAATCCATTCATCAGAAAATTGAGTCGTTTCCCTTTGTGGAGTAAACTTAATGTTTCCCTTCTTTATGCTATGATCATACATTTTGGTTTGATGGCCAGGATAAATATTCCTGAAATTGTCATCTTTGTAGAATCCCTTATCATGAACTTAATGACTTTCATGATATACAGTACAATAATCATATACCCTATTTAAATTCTTTTTTGGTAGGGATTTAAGCCTAGTTCTGGGACTGTCCAGGAGTTGAATTTCCGCAGCAGTAAGAATGTGTGGGGGTACTTCAGTGTGTCTGCCACGGGTGGACTACATGAGTATGCTGACTCTCAGTTTGGACACTGCTTCTCCTGGGGAGAGAACCGGGAGGATGCCAGAGAGTGAGTGGGGGGGGGGGAGGGGGGATTCAGGATATTGTCTGATATTATGTATTTTGTAACAAAAAAAATTCAAATTGATCGTATTTGTTCTGAGTTAGATACTTGCTTTTATCAGAGTCAAAATATTATCCATGAATTTATTTTCTCCATTGATTTAAATTTTTCTTATCTGAAATATATGAGAGATCCTTCATTAGGAAGAATTAATGATTTACAAGGCTATTAAATAGTAAACTTATTGAATAGAAAATGTTTGGAAGGAAGCATTTCTTTACTTCATTTCAAATGAATTACAGGAATCTAGTGGTGGCACTGAAGGAGCTCTCAATCCGTGGAGACTTCCGAACCACGGTAGAATACCTCATCAAACTCTTTGAAACAGAGGAGTACCAGAACAACAAGATAACGACCGGCTGGCTGGACAAGCTGATATCTGAGAATGTCCAGGCGGAGAAGCCGGACGTCATGCTGGGTGTGATATCCGGAGCGCTCCACATCGGGGACCACCAGATCCAGGAGTGCTTCCAAATGTTCCAGACCTCGCTGGAGCGGGGACAGATCCTGCCGGCCACGTCACTCAAAAACCACGTGGATGTAGAGTTCATCAGCGAGGGGATCAAGTATAATGTCAAGGTAAGGTCAAGGACAGGACTTGTTTTAGCATTATTGCCAAGTTTGATTTTCAGTGAATGAGAAATATGGATTTCGTGAATGTGGATTTCATGAATGTAGGGTAAACCTGGGTTGTACATGTATCAAAACCTATACTACATGTATATAGTGACTGTTCAATAAGTATAAAAAATATGCTTTTGACAATTTTTTTTGTTAAATACAAATGAATACAATTTTTGTTGTGTTTTTTTAAAGGTGGTGAAGACGGGCCCAAACAACTACTTTATTTGTATGAATGACTCCATGCTGGAGGTGGAGGCACACAGGTGATTTAGAGAGCTATCTGATTGTTAAAAAAATTATGATATTTCAACCATTGATCGGAAATAAAGAATAATGTACCTGTATTTAAAAAAAAATTAAGAAAGTTACAGAAATGGTATAAATTGTTAATTTAATAATGTAAACCATTTTTTGCTTGTGACGACTTTATTTTGCGATACGATATACTGGGGGTAAACTTGTTCAAGAAGACTATTTTTTGTGATAAAGCCTTTTTTGGATCAATTATTAATAGACACAGAGACTTTATTTAAGGACCAGTTTGTGGTGAGAAATATTCCCAATGACAAGGCTTTCACGAAAATTTCTCGCACACGAATAAAAGTTGATTTACAGTATTCCTTTTGATTACAGACTTAGTGATGGGGGCTTGTTGATCTCATTTGATGGAGCCAGCTTCACTACTTACATGAAGGACCAAGTGAGCAGCTACAGGATTACTATAGGAAACAAAACCTGTGTCCTACATAAGGAGAATGACCCCACCAAACTCAGGTAGTGTACGATACTGTGTAAAGGGGGAGAACTCTGAGAAAATCTAAACCTGCCAAAGACATGGTGCCTTATGGAATGTAACATCACATAGCCTGAAATTATGATTGCATATTAAAAATAATATTTAAAAAATTAACTAGATGCAGGTTTTTTTTTCAGTTTTTGCTGCAATGCAGCATTAAAATATTTAGTCCATTTTAAATTTGTCAGACATAGATTTGTTAAAAGACAGATAACTCTTGTGAAATTCACAGATGACACAAATAAAAAGGGAGTTACAAATTTCCCTTCAGTAGATAGTCTATATATATATTAATTCCTGCATGTATATAGAGGATTTGAAAATTTCTCTTTTTCTATGAAGGTCTCCCTCTGCTGGTAAGCTGTTGAACTACATGATAGATGACGGTGGTCATGTGTTTGCTGGGGATGTGTATGCTGAAATAGAAGTCATGAAGATGGTCATGGAACTCAGGGTCACAGAAAATGGATGGTAAAAGATGCCTAGAAATATTACTAATCTTGTTTTAATTTTGGAGAAGAAGCTATTACAGATTGATTGTTTTCTAACTAAGTTGGCAATATTTCAGCCATATTTTGGTAGAATGCTCAGAAGTGATGAATAGGTGACAAAAGGGATTGAAAATCTATAAGTTGAATATGCATTTAATTTAAAAAATCAAACAAATAGATACCTGAAGTGGAAAAATATTTGATCAATCTATGAAGTCTTGTCATTTTTTGCAAAAGTAGGTTTGGAGAACATAAACTTTAAGAATTAACACAGCTTTCTCCTTGTTTCAGTGTTCATTATGTTAAGAGGCCGGGAGCCGTGTTGGAGGGGGGCAGCATCGTGGCCCACCTTGACCTGGATGACCCCAGTCGTGTCCAGCAGGCCCAGAGCTTCAAAGGGACACTCCCCCAGCCCCAGGCCCCGCCCACCCACGGGGAGAAGCTTCACCAGATCTTCCAGAGTACGCGTTCGGAGCTAGAGAACATTCTGGCCGGGTACACGCTGCCTGATCCTTACTTCAAACCTAAACTACAGACGTCCATAGAGAGACTGATGAAGTGCCTGAGAGATCCGTCACTGCCTCTACTGGAACTGCAGGTAAAAATAGGGAATTTGAAAATAAGGACTTGCAGTAAATTTAATTTAATTAAAAATCTAATTAAAAATTTATATCTTTTTTTAAATATCATTATAATGATAGTATTTAGGTATGATTTACAAATTGGGACTGTTAAGTGAATTTACATTTCTTGCTTGTTTTTGTCCTCATAATTAGTCAGAAATGACCATTTTTCTTCTTCTCAAGAATCACTGGGCAAGAAAAGCTGAAACTTATGTGGAAGCATCCTGGGGTAGTGTAAATTGTAAATTGTTCAAATTATGACCCCCGGGGATTGGGCCGGGCCACAATGGGGAATCAAAGTTTTACATAGAAATATATAGGAAAAATCTTTAAAAATCATCTTCTCAAGAACCACTGGACCAGAAAAGCTGAAACTTATGTGGAAGCATCCTAGGGTAGTGTTGATTCTAAATTGTTCAAATCATGACCCCCAGGGGGTAGGGCGGGGCCACAATGGGGAATCAATATTTTATATAGAAATATAAAGGAAAAATCTTTGAAAATCCTCTTCTCATGAACCACAGGGCCAGAAAAGCTGAAACTTACGTGGAAGCACCCTGGGGTAGTGTAGATTGTAAATTGTTCAAACCATGACCCCTGGGGGTAGGGCCTGGTCAAAATGGGGAATCAAAGTTTTATATAGAAATATATAGGAAAAATCTTTTAAAATCTTCTTCTCAAGAACCACTGGGCCAGAAAAGCTAAAACTTATGTGGAAGCATCCTGAGGTAGTGTAGATTTCAAATTCTTTAAATTATGATCATTGGGGTAGGGTGGGGTCACAATATGTATTACAAGGAGGAAATCTGAAAAAAAACCAGAATGGTCAAAGATTCTCAGGTGAGCGATGAGGCCCATGGGCCTCTTGTTAGAGAATGTATGTGTTTCTCAGCTTAAAATCTTTGGCCATTGTTAGTGAAAGCATTTGATTTTATTTTTCAGGATCTGGTTGCCATGATTTCTGGGAGAATCCCCCCACAGGTGGAGAAAGCCATCAAAAAACAGCTTCAGTCATACTCCAGTAACATCACCTCTGTACTCAGTCAGTTCCCCAGTCAACAGGTAAAAATCAGTAACAGCTTCAGTCATACTCCAGTAACATCACTTCTGTACTGAGTCAGTTCCCCAGTCAACTGGTAAAAATCAATGATGGAGACTCTATAGGAAATAACCAACGAAATGGAGACTATCCTTGCAATTTTTTTCTCTGTTTAGAGAAAGACAAATTTAATAGACTCCATGTGCAATAAAAATATTTTGAGTGAACAAAGTTCTGTCTGAAGTTGACCAGGAATTCAACCAAACAAAGGAAGGAGGCACAGTGATTTAATGTGTTTTTATGCACATGTATCTGATTATATCGTTGTTGAAATACTACCATGTTAGCACGAGAGGGATATACTTTCAATCAATGTAACTAAGAGAATCATGAATTTGGTCACTAAATTAAGGGTTGCTCTCCTTCTTTCCTTTTAGATTGCAAATGTGATAGACAGCCATGCTGCCACACTTACAAGAAGAACAGAGAGAGAAAACTTCTTCATGACAACACAGGGCATAGTTCAACTAGTTCAGAGGTTAGAGGTCGTAGTATTACTGACCTTTGGCAATCTCAAGTGTCCCAAATTTCTTCTAAAGCATATCAGAGAGTATATTTTCTTCCGACAAACATGCATGTCAATCCAACCATATCAGATTCATAACTGAACCAAAAATTGAATACCTTTTCCTTTTGCATGTGACAGTTCTATCATAAAGCTTAATAGAATGAATTTTGCATGTGTACAATTGTTCTTGGTGTAACGCATGTGACATTTTCTTTTGACAGTGGATCTAAGGGGTAATGCTAGTGGGTTGTGAGTAGTATGAATCACAAGGTTTTAAGATTTCTGGTCACCCTTCAAACTTTTTTTTTCACACTTGATCTGAACAGATAAACTTGAAGTCCAGAACATGCACATTACTGAATTTTCTTTTTATTTTGTTAAAGAAATAGTCAGATAAGATATGCATGCCTTTAAACTTGAATAAGAGCATTATTTGAAAATTGAAGCAACATCATCCCAGTTGAAACTATATTTATATAGAAAGAGACTACCAGAGCACTCAATCTATTTTAAGTTTCCAGGTTTTAATTGAACATCTTGATTGATTAATGGAGGGGGGGCTTACTGAGACAAATAATCTTGAAAACTTGTATGGAACTGTTTTGCACTCTTCATAGACCTTCTGGCATTAACCCCTTTTTCTATTCTTTTTGTTACCAGAGCTTAAATGTTCAGTACTTGTCTGTGTAATTCCAGGAACTACATTCTATATTTTGTGGTTTTTTGTATGTGTACGTGTCCGTCATTTGCTTTTCTTACCCCCTCCTCCTCTCTTTCTCCTCTAAATGTGCTTCCATAACGATCATAACTCATTATCAATTACAGTCCTAATCAAATGTACCAAAAACCAGATGGCGTAAAGAATTAGAAGTATTTGAAAAAATGTTCAATTTATGGTACATTGTATTTTTTAACAAGTTTTTATGAAAATATATAGTGCTAAAACTAATATGCTTTCACCAATGTTTAACACATGAGTCATCTCTGAATTGTAGGTACCGAAATGGAATCAGAGGTCACATGAAGAGTGTTGTACAAGACTTACTGAAACAGTACGTCAGGGTAGAGGTCCAATTTCAACATGGTAAGACTATAACCCACTCATCCTCCCCCATACCAGCTAAAAAGGGAAAAGGGTTTAAAAGTGAATGTAAAACATGCCAATAAGGTAGCATGCTTATAACCAATATGCTTGATATTATAAAGTAATGCTTGCAATGAAGTGATTTTCATTCCTGTGACTTAAGAACATATTGTTAAAGGATATTACAAATTATGTTTTTAACCAAGCAAAATCCTCTGCCCGTGCAACTTCATTATTAGCGTATTTACTGTACTTTTTGATATACCATAATTATCCATGTGTGAATTAAAGTATGGTAGCACTAAGGAAAAAATCACTCCTTATTTTTATTCATTTAACTTTGTACATGTATCTTTTAAAATGAATTTTCTTTTGACAGGTCACTATGACAAATGTATAGCTCAGCTGATATCTAAGACCAAGGACATGTCCGCAGTGGCTGGCAGCATCTTCTCTCATCTGGCCGTACAGAAGAAAAACATCCTCATCACCATGCTCATCGTAAGAATCATCGAATTTGAAATCTTTTTTTCTTCAATAAAATGGCTGATATTTCAAATTTCTGCAGCATTTCCTTGATACAGATTGTTTTCAGTTAAATAAATGAATGCTTGTTTTCATACCATATAATTTTCTCACCAAAAATGGCTGAAATACTGCTCACTCAGCATTAAGTCCCGAATTTAGTATTGAATAGTGAATTCAATAAATTGAAGCTATATATTGAAGAGAAATAGAGGGACTTCAGAATTGAAGGCAAAAAATCTATAAATCGAGAAATAATTGCAATCATTATGACATGATTATTATAGGACCACCTGTGCAAGAAAGAAGCAGGTCTGACTGATGAGCTGGCCTCCATACTGACTGAGCTCACCACACTGAACAATGCAGAGAATGCTAAAGTAGCACTCAGGGCCAGACAGGTATTACAGTGTCTTTATAAACACTGTCATTATTTTCTTACAAAATGTTCATTTTTTCATATCAACCCTTACATACACAGATCTCTTTGAAACATAATAATATATATCAGACGAGTATATTTTGAGGTGATGGAATTCTAATCTTCCCCTACTCAGAAAGCTTTTGAGTCGGTATTTTGTTAGATACTGTGACATATACTTTATTTCATCTACAGTGAAATCACAAATTTTCGTGGGGGTTTTAATTTTCGTGGTTTTCAAGGTATGAAGAGACCCATTAATTTACATGTATGTCCACCACAAAATGCAATTTTACACATAAAATACAACTGAACAGTTCTTCAACCACAAAATGAAATCCCCATGAACCAATATATTTTCCTCAAAAACTTGAACCCTTGAAAATATGTGATTTTACAGTATATTGGGTGTAAATTGATTTGGATTAATTTTCCAGGTGTTGATAGCAGCTCACACTCCCCCTTATGAACTCCGACATAACCAGATGGAATCAATCTTTCTGTCGGCCATTGATATGTATGGACCGGAATTCAATCCTGAAAATCTACAGGTCTGGTAGATCTTTCATAATCTTTATCTTCTCAGTTAAATGTCCTTGTCATTCAACGGAAAAAAAAGTATTGGAAAGTAAAATTTAAGATGTTTTCTTGTTCAAATGTTCTAACTTTCTTGTACATGTATTTAGAAGAGAAAGGCTTATTTGGATTTCTTGTATGACGTAAGCTTTCAAGGTTAAATTTTTTGGTAGTTTTTTTGCATGAAAATTTCTTGTTCTTTGTTTAGATTTTGTTGTCTTTGTGACACATTTTTCGTGATTTATAACTTCATGAAAATTTTTAAAAAGGTAGAATAGTCTATAAAAGGGATAAAAATTTTGAGAATCAAGTATTTTTAAAGTCTATAGGTTATGTTCAATAGAACTTTTAAGCCACTATATATTATTTTTCATCAAGAATTATATCGCCTACCAGGTATATACATTGTATAACTAACTATATGTATCCATATCAACACTTCAACATATCAGCACGTACCTAATATGTAAAGAATAAGACACATAATATATGTAAGAGAGAGTTCATGGGTCATAGGAAATAATGCAATAAATTGTAAATTGTGACTATTAATTTGTGTTTTCAGAAAATCATCCATTCAGAGACAGCCATTTACGACATTCTACAGGAATTCTTCTGGCATACAAACAACCTGGTCAGATCTGCTGCCTTAGAGGTGAGAACAAAGCAGTTAGAGTCAGGAATCAATTTTCATGGTGACAGTTTCATGAACCCAGTTTCATGTTGACATCTGTTTTCTTAAAAAAAAATCTTTTTTTCTGCTTTTGGTGTAGTTAAACGTTCTTTACCACTCTATTCACTCAACGGAAATATTGCATTAAAAGTCACGACTTTCTTAAAGAAATTCAAGTCATCCTTTCAATTTTGCTTTACAAGTTTATAATTATAACCATTATGTATGAGAATCATCTCTCTTATAAAAGGGTCAGTGAACCTTAAAGGACTTTTTACTTCTCATTACACTTTCTATAAACAGATTTTGTAAATGTTTTAATATTTCATAGGTGTACATTAGGAGAGCATACATTGCGTATGAGGTGAACTGTCTCCAGCATAGAGAACTTAATGGGGACATGTCAATGGTGGAATTCAGGTTCCTTCTGCCCCGGTCACACCCCAACAGGTAAAAGATGATGAAGACATGTAGACAAGTCAAAATGCCTAATAAAAATATTTAGATAAAAATAAAAAATCTGAATCAGCATTAGATTTTTCTGTATTTTGGTCATTTAAGTAATTAGGATCAGATTACAGTTTCAAATTCTGTACTTAATTTTGTCACTACTGAAAAGTATACTTATAGAGTTTACATAAATAAGAGCAAGGGAGGTATCTATTTTGATTATTGATTATAACAGTAAACCGGTTAATACGAAAGCTGTTTTGTTGATTTCAGGTTGATGGTGATGCGTTATGACAGCCTTGACAAGATGTCCGGTTTGTCTGACCCTGAGGCCCACATTGATCAGCTGGAGGAACCACCCACCTGTCAGAGAATGGGCATCATGGCCTCATTTAACTCCATGACTGAATTTGAAATGTGAGTAGTGTTGAATTGCATATTGAAGACTGAAAGACAAATCTTAACTAGACATTACTTTGAATTCTTAAATTTTTGTGGTTGGTTCAAATGTTGCTTTTAAGGTATGGAAAGAACCACAAATTTGTGTCCAACACAAAAATATATTTCATATAGCTACTCATCCATTCATCAACATTGGTATGATACCCCCATAAATCCATATCATCCCTCCAATTACCAAAGTATGTCCCCACAAAAGTATTTGAATTTACAGTTTGTGAGCTGATAAGTCAGCATCTTTTAAAAAAAAATAAAAATCATTTCATGCTATTGATTTAAGATTATTTTTTAATTTCTTTTTGTAGCCACTTTGAGCAGGTGTTGGAGTGCTTTACAGTGGAGTCAGACAGCCCACCCAGCAGTCCCACTATACTGGCCAAGAGTCCCGCTGGCAACGAGGACTCCATCTCTCTACATGTCAGTGTAACTTATTGTACTTTCTGAATAATAGAGTTGGGTATTGCGAAGGAAATCCATATTGCGATATATTGCAATATTTTACTTTGAATATTGCAATATATTGCAATATATTGTAGATTAATTATCATTAATAAATTTGAGCAGAATGTTTGAAATGCTGTCAAGTTCAAAGACTATTTGAATTTATCTTTAAGTTTAAAAGCGGGAGGAGGGATAAGACATTGATTGCAAACCAAATTAACACTTTACTTTTAATCAAATTCCAGGTAAAATAGTAAAACAAGATGAACTCTCTTGGAGAATTTTCACATTGAAATAAAAATTTTTACAGATTATATAATCTTTTTTCATTGAATTCTTTTTTTTTTGGAGGGGGGGGGGGTTAATGAAGTAGCATAAAATGTTATTAAAGATTAAAACAATATACATATTAGGCCTATATGAAAATAATTTTATTGTGGTTACAAAATAAAATTTAAAAAACCAGAAAGAAATTGTGACCTGTTTTCGTGCGTTTTGGTAATTTAGTCTAACCCGACCTAATTTCACATCAAGACGAACAATCAGGAAATGGCCTGTGTTAATATATACATGCTCCTGCTAT